ACATACGTAAAGTGTCTATTATCTAAATTTAGTATAATATATTACCATGAAAAGTAAACTGTCATATTTTATTCAAGGTGCAAGTTCAATTGATATACATACATATAAGTAAAAACTGATTACAATTTGATTCTAGAAAAATAAGTGCAATTTATTCTTAGTGCACAAAATAAATAGTCGTTAATAGAGATTTGATTTGAAATTTCATACTAGCCCGTACAATGAAAAATAATGCTCGTAATTCCAGAGTACCAATTTGTTAATGACTCAGAAAAATAACATGGCGGCCTGCTCTCAAAAAACTTTCGATGGGTAGAATAAATAATTGAAATAAGAGTTGTGAAAATTGTATAAATTAAAAACCTCCAATCTTTCTTTAGTAAAACGGTAAGTAAAACGGTGTAAACGGGTGTATATTAAGTAAATTTATAAATGTTACAGTTCTCAGGTCAACTACAATAAAGTTATACGCTTAAAAAGTTTACTGATATTTGTCGTAATATACAATAAAAAATTAGATATTAATTATTCAAGATACAAGTGAGAAATAAATATCATTAAAATATACAAAAAAATTTATCAATTTGACTCTGAAAAGTAAGTGACATGGTTCTCAAAGTGCAAGGTTTCATTGACTTACAATTTTCTTTAGAAGAAACACAGAAGAAAAAGGTATTTGTATATAGTTTTGTATATTCACTTGTTTTGTGTAGAGCTTTTAAAAATACGTTGAATCCTTATTCTAATCTAATCTTCTTCTAATGTAATACTTTCGTATCTCAAAGTTTGTAGTAATTATTCTGTAAGAGCTTTGACATTATTTCTAAATGGACATCGAGAAAAAATCATAGTTTTTTGAGAGCAGGCCGCCATGTTATTTTCTGAGTCATTAACAAATTGTACTCTGGAATTACGAGCAATATTTTCATTGTACGGGCTAGTATGAATTTCAAATCAAATCTCTATAAACGACTATTATATTTTGTGCACTAAGAATAACATATCGCACTTATTTCTAGAATCAAATTGTATCAGTTTTACTTATATGTATGTATATTCAATGTGAACTTGCACCTTGAATAAAATATGACAGTTACTTTTCATGGTAATATATTATTACTAAATTTAGATAAAGACACTTTACGTATGTTCACTTTGAACTGGCACCTTGAATAACATATCAGTTACTTTTCGTGATAATTTATTATTAGATCGTTTAAATTTTGAGTACCTTCTTTTGAACATGGCCTGACCTTTTAGTTTTATGATTTTTTTACTATTACATTATTTAAAAAATTTTACTGGTAATAATTGTTCTCTCATACATGTCAGAATTAATTTTATACTTTAAAAAACATTTCTTCAATTTTTTATCTTAAATAAAGACTATCATTATTATTATCAATTTAAAAGAAAAACGTGAATTGTTTTCCTTTAAAATTAAAGAAAAAAAATTAATAAAAAAACATATATATCTTCAATTCTCCCTTACATGTCAATAATATACTTTAAGAGTTTTACCATAAGTTTTTGAATTAAACTTAAAATATTCGTATTTTTAAAGCAAAATAAAATTAATTATAATAATTATTGATAAAATCTTACTGAAGTACATTATATTTAAAAACATAAAATAAATTATACTTGTTTTTGCACAAAAACTATCACGGTTATTAAATTTGTACTTTAGAGTAGTAGTTCTTCAAGAAACTTTTAACATTTTTAATGTTCGCTATTACACGAACGATTGGCTTCATTTTGCTGTGTTGGTTTTGTTTTTAATTTGGCTTTTACCAACCAAGTTTTAACGATGTTTATAATTTCATCATCTGTTATAATTACAGGACTTTTCCGTGTAGTAAGTCTTACGGATTCTGAAATGATAAGGAATCTTATATTTTGATTGTTTTTTTTAAATACTAGCAAATTTCTTTAAAACTTTTTTTTACTGCAATTTAAACATTTCTAAACAAATAAATTTCACTAAAATGTTGAATCTGGTGTGAATTCCCAATGTATTAATTATGTATTAATTACTTTAAAACAAAAAATAAAATATAACTTTCCTAAACATATCATAAAGAAATTAAAATTATATTTGTATTACTTACTAAGGACTAATTTTGCCAGAAGTAAATCCTTAAAAATTAGGTTCCCCTTGTGCCCCTCCCAGCTGTATTCTCTTCCAATTTCCGGTGTTAAAATTCGGCACATCAATTTCTTGACAATAATTCGTAAATTACTACCGCCCATTTTCGACAATTCTGTAGCCTCAAAAATTATTGTATAAAATATACTTATTTATATTTATATACTATTATTATTATATTTTCCTTATATTATTATTATATTTATATTATTATAATTATTATATTTATATATATTATTATATTTATTTATATAATTATGGTATAATTTTAGTAATATAACGATCATTTTACCACATCATGGAATATTCCTTTATCTTGTAAAGTTCTCTCAATTTCTTGAAGCTCCATTTTTATTTTACTGGCAAATTTTCTATGCATTGTAATGATACTTCATTTGTAATATTTTGATTAGTATTTTCTTGATCAACGAGAAAATTAGATTGTTTTAATGATTCTACGTGCTCATTTAATTCTCCCATGCGGCCATTAATGCTATGTAAGTGTCGTAGAACTTGGCGTTGAAATTCTGAAAAATTCAAAATATATATACATATAATGAACACAAAACAGCCTTAACATATTTTACGATTTGCAAGTGAATTAGAAAGTATGCATATTATAGCAATATTATACTAAGGCATTTTTTCCACACATAAAACATATATTTTCTCCATACATATTACCTTTCATTTTAATTGCGTGTTTTTGAAAATTAGTATGGATCTCAGCTAAAATATTATCAGAATTTTGCTTCTTACTTTCGCCGATTTGGTAAACATTATTATTCGATTTATTAGTACGGATCTCAGTTAAAATATTGTCTGAATTTTGCTTTTTATTGCTCTCACTGACTTGGCCAACATTATTGTTCGAATTTGATGAAATACCAGTCTTATCTGCTTTATATGTCGGAAAATTAATGGACAAATCCTTTTCGCCACACTCATCGCTTTCCGTATCGGTATCTGTGTATGTATCACTGTACTGTCTTTTACGTTTCGGTACACGACATCCTTTTCCATATTCAGCAGATTCAGATAATGATGAGAGATTATCTCTATCCAATGCAGTTTTGCATTTTCTTTGAGCAATTTTATAATCGTCTAGAAAAAAATATTGCTGTTAAATTATAGTTACTTGATAAAAATGTTTCATTTAAAAAATCTATATATATATATATATATATATATATATATATATATAAAGTTCTACTTGCTATATTTAATAAATTGAACAATTTTTAACAAATAAATGAAAAGCCAAGTTATAAAAAATATAGACAAAACGTAAATTTATCTATTAATTATATTTTAAATTATCTTTTTCCATAACAAATTATACAAGATCTGTTGCAATTGTTTCAACTTTATTATTACATTTATTCTGTTTTACGTACTACCATTTAAATTATAAAAAATTATATACAAATTCTTAAAAATAACCATAAGAAATTGCAATTTAAATATATTAAAGTATTTAAATATATTAAATATATACGTATAATATTTACTATATCGTCCTAAAATTTTGATATTCATTGTTTTCCAATCATCTTTAGGAATCTCTTTTCTTTTAATGAGCTCTAATAGTTTAGATGGTTTTGTTGTTAATGGCCACACACATAGATTTTTACCAGTTATCCAATTATTTGGGACAACTTCTACAGAGTCATCTATTTGAAAATGGCAAATACACCATTCCATATTTCTGAAAAATGCAAATAGCTTGTTTAGACATAATGAAGTTTAGTTATATACGTATATATACTTTTTGCTCGTATTATATCCTCGCACCATCACAGTAAGATAGGTCTAGTTGCAATATTGCATATCAAAAGCTGGACACAATGATGCAACTTAATCAACTCAATGTCGGTACTTCGTTGAAATCAAAAGATGATACAGCACCGAGTAGAGAAATTTAAACGTGCACGGATTGCACGAGTTCATTGTCTTCTCATTCTGGTTATATTGAACGTATTTTATTTAATATTAAATTATTTAATATTTTATTATTTTATTTTACGTATTTTATGTCATAAAATTATTTAATGTTGGATTTAAAAAATGCAATATATATGCATAAAAATGCAATATATACATACATATATAAACTGTCAGTTATTTAAATAAAGACTGCGATAGAAGAATCAATTAAAATTGAATATTTAAAAATAGATAGATAATAAATTAAAATCTCTTTTTAGATTTGCAATCAAATTAATAATAAAACATTTAATACTTTAAAATGTTAATATTTTAGCAACATTCTGATAAGCACTACGTAACAGCAATCATTAAAATAGTAACAGCAATCATTAAATCGTTACTATCACACCATTATTTAGCACTAATCAGAAATTAATAGAACTTTAATGTGATAACTGATAGAAAATTTTAATAATTAATTAATTATTTAAAAATAATAATGTTTTTGCACTTTGAGGGAATTTATTACAAAACAGTATAAAAAATATTAAAATTTTATTTACATGTGTAACAAAGGAAAAATTACTGCATTATTATCTTTATATGGCAACAACATTGCTTTGCATTTAATTTCTAATAATGAATATATTTTTAAACTACTAAGTTTGTCAAGATGTACAATATAAATACCTAGAATTGCAGAGTCACAGGGTTTTATAAAAAATGATTTTTTCTCAAGAAATGTTTGCCCAATAATACAAATAATATTATTACAGTAAGTTATGTTGCATATTTGAACAATTTCATTATCCAACATTTGTACATAACAATCAGCAGTGTTTAATTTATAAGTACAAGATTTTAATTTTAATACTTTATATTGACCTAAACAATTTGGTAATAAAGGTCCGTTATAATGTTCTTTGGCAATAATATTATTTTCAAAGTGATTTTCTAATCTTGGAATATTATTATATTCGGAAACACGACGTATTATTTGTTCAAGTGGTTTTTCTTTTTTTCTGATCATTTTTTTTAATTGCATCATATAATTCTCGAACGGAAAAGCTGAAAATTCATTTAAATTACCAAATCGTATGACATCTTCATGTATATGTAACAAATTATGTACGTTATAAGAAACAAAATCTTGACCATAAATATTAATACTTGTTTCAACAAAGCATTTTATTAGATCTTTTGCATAATTTATCATATCTATTTTTTTGCAGAATTCATTACTACACATTATTAGAGTAGCAACGTGTAATGTCAAGAAATGATAATAATTATTTTTTGGAAGAAATTGTTTTAGAATTATGGGTCCTGTATATAATAATATGAGTTTAAATTCCGTTGCCTTAAAACGAGGACATTCTTCAAGCGATCTACCTTTACGTGGAAATTCAATTGGGATATATTTATTTAAGCTTTTGATTTTATTTGAAATCGATTCTACTTGTCTATGTGAAAGCTTATATGGTGGTTTTATTTGAAATCGATTCTACTTGTCTATGTGAAAGCTTATATGGTGGTTTACCCAACACCCAACCATATTTTTTATGTGTAATCAATCTTTTCATCACTCCTAAACAAATAAGATGCATGTAATCTAGTATAACGTCTTTAATCATATGAAAATGAGGCAAATTCGTCAAAATGGTTATCCCTTTGTGATAATCTTCATCATATTGTTGTCTAAATTCAGTATCTGTTCTCTTTATAAAATTTGTCTGTGGAAAACACAACACATTATTAACGAAATAACCTTCCACTTTGCATTTAGTGCAGCTATGATAACCAGTATGGTTTTTTACATTTAAAATATAAGATTTAGCGGGCGCATCACATATTATAACTTTTATTTTAAAATCGTATTTTTGATTGTTGATAAAAATTCCATTTGTAATCAAGTAAATTGCTTCATTTACAAATTCTTCTAAATATTTATTCGGGTTTTTCGGTTTACCATTACCATGATATAGAGCTACCATTAAGACATATTTTTTCAAAACTTCAATTGACTTTATTTGAACTAATATTGGCCATAAACAAGTTGAACTGCTTTTACTAATAGGCAAACCATCTATATTTACGGCTAATTCAAAAGATGTATAATTAGGAAGGAATGCATTACATTGATTAATTAATATATTAATAGACTGAGCAATTCCAAAGTAATAAAAAGAACCAGTGCTCATTTTTACAGAAGTAAGATTGCTTGGAGTAGATAACATTGTTCTCGGATCTTTTGGTAAATTATGAAATGAAGTCAAATCATTTTCATTTCGAAGAATTTCTAAAAGTTTTTTAAAACTATTTTGAGTAATATTTTCCTTAATGGACCATGATGCTAACTTTTTTCGCAGTGATGTATTTTTATCTTTTTTTTTGCGCAAGTGGATAAATCATTATTACAATTTATTATGTCTTCGTCATTATCAACGCTATATAAGGATACCATAAAATTATTTAAAAGAGATGTATTATTTAGAAAATTTTCTTCGATATTGTTGACATAAATATTTGATTCAGCGACATTTTCGTGAATTTCTTCACTTGATGATACATTGATTAACTGAAAATCAGGACTTGTGCTAATTTGTGTACTCGCGTCTTCATCGATACTTATTATTTTATTACTTGAACAAGTAATTTCGGTCGATTCAATTATGTTGATATGGCTTTGTAACTCAATTAAAGCCATCGACGCTTTTATATTATCGTTTATTTTTTTATTAAAATGTCTTTTACTCTTAATTTTTGGCATTTTATAGATAAATATTAATTGAAATTGTACAAATTTATGTTAATTTATACCAATTAATTAGAAATTCATCATAAATTCGCAAGAAAAATTTAAATATTATTTTATAGATATTTTATTAATTATATCACATTTGTACATTAACGAATATTTTATTTATGTACGTCTTATAATATTAAGTACCTGAAACAAAAATTAAAAACAAACCTAAACATTAATTTTCTTTAATAATATATTCGATATATATAATTTTATAAAATTTTAATATATTAGAAGCAACATTTCTATTATATATGTATATTACAAATTACAATTATATGTATTATGATTAACATCTGCAAAATTAACACAATAATTAAACGTACTGCAATTTATAACCTAATCAAACTTATCAAATTATTTTTTTATGAATTTATATCCATAGTATTTTATAATTATACTTTCTATTTCCATATACTGATAATATAATAAACACGTGCTGTGACTTGTGTATAACCTCTTAAATTATAGGTCTTACGAATTTATATTTAGAAATAAATTTAAATCTATAATTTATATCTAAAAATATTAAAAATTATCATGAAATTATCTACAATAAACCATATTTCTAAAAATTACTTGGTACTCATAAAATTAACGTAGATAATAGATTTTTTACGAACGATTATACATACTTTCCTTCCTTCTTCCTTCGAGATTATTAACACTGGCAAGCTCAAAGCCTGTTTATATTGACCAAAACAGTGGTGTGGTAGCAGATTCCTATGCAGTCTTAGCCTCCCAAAGAGGAAATCAGAACAAAACGGGACAGAAACACATTCAGACTTGCTCACTGAACAATATACGTACGGCTCTTGATTCTTGATGCACACGCGACACGCGATGGGCGCGATGGCTGGACAGAATGCGCGCGAGACTGAGTCGCACATGCGCAACAGTAAAAACAATTAACTAGCAATATATGTGCGCAGAAAATTTGGTGGGCACAAATAATATCATTTAACTATTTCAACTGATTGATATCCATTCAACTTATTTTGAAAAGTTAAAAGTGAAGTAAAAAAGATATATTAATAATTAATAATTATTCTCATAAAGCATAAAAACTTTAAAGAAAATTTCTTAAATATTGAAAAACTTTCAGAAAATTTTTACGAATGACCAATGACATTTTTTCGCCTGTATAGATATATTATATTTGCCTGTGTATAGATACTCCATTGAAACAATTATATTTACTTCTAAATATTTTTATATATTAATGTTGATTTCTATATACAGCATATATACAGCACAGAATTATCTGTGAATGTGCTATAAACATTGAATAAGTATCCTAATATTCCATGGGTCATTCAGAATATTCTATAGAAGATTAAATTTGGCGGTAATTTTGGTGCGTCTAATCGAGATAAATTTGATACACGAAATGCTATAGTGTTGCCGTATATTAGAGATTTGAGCGAAAATATTACTCGTTGCATAAACAAAAATGGAATCGGTGTATTATATACCGTTCCTAAAAATTAGACACATTGATAAAAAGAGGAAAAGATAGTATTGACAACTTAAAAAGAACCGATGTCGTTTATAAGATCGAATGTGCGAATTGTGACTCTACATATATTGGACAAACAAAGCGACATTTAGAAACACGTATTAAGGAACATAAAAATAACATCAAAAAGACACGACATCACACTCAGTTGTTAGTTTGCATCGGACTTGCAACGATCACGAGTTCCGCTGGGATTCTCCTGTGATTCTGCATCAAGAAAAACAAACAAGAAAAAGAGAATAGCAGAAATGTTCTATATAAAAAAACCAAAGAAAGAGCATTAATTTACAAAAAGATACGGAGAATTTCAGTGGGATTTATGATCGCGTTCTTGAAGCTATTTAATATATTATATTGTCATATGTTACATATTTATTTATTTATTTATTTATTTATTTGACTTTGTATTGACGTTTTAAAAATTGCGAAAGACACAGTACTCTGGTTTTCTATTTTCTCAACGCGTTAGTGACTAAGTTTCCTGCTAACAGTCAACATCTATTTTTCTTCGTGCTCACTTCTGTCAGTTATACATTGTTCATCAAAACAATGGTTAATTTTGTCGGGGGTTTGCTGTAAATTTGATTTATTGTATTAATCTGGTATGTAAACATATATATTTTTGTAAATTTATAATTATTTGTATGATTAAGCGCATTAAGAGTATATATATATATGTATATAATTGTTCATAGATTACTTGAAAAAGGCTGCAATGACAGCCGAAACGTTGTAATTTAACTAATAATTTTTAAATAAATTATTGCCAGTCTGGTCGACTTTAAAATTGGAGGAGAGATTTTCATTATTTATTACTGGCGACTCTTAAGGATTATCATTTATTCTATAGAAGTTCTATGAATATTTCATGGAATTTTGTCAATTCGGAATGTGTATATAATATTCCCGAAATATTCTAATAAATGTAGTACATTTGGAAAATGCGTGGAATGTTTTATAAATATTCTGATAAATGTGGAATATTTAGAATATTCGTAGAACATTCTGCAAATATTTGTAAATATTTATAGTATGTGCTATAAACATTTTGAAAAATTTTCTAAATTTACTATGAATATTTTGATAGTATTCTACAAACATTCCGATGAACATGAATATTCAGAATATAAATAGAATATATTTTCAGATATTAATGAAATATTGCTGGAACATTCTATACACATTTTAGAAAATATAGAAAACCTTCTGATTGTTCTATAAATATTTGATGAATATTCTTGGAACATTCTATTAATATTGTAGAAACTTTATTGTTTTCCACAATATTAATAGAATGTTCCAAGAATATTCTTCAAATATTTATAGAACATTCAGAAGGTTTTCAATATTTTTCTAAAATATGTCTAGAATGTTCCAGCAATATTCCAATAATATCTAAAAATATTCCATTTATATTCTGAATATTTATGTTCATCGGAATGTAAGTAGAATATTATCAAAATATTCATAGCAAGTTCTAAAAATTTTTCCAAATATTCATAGCACATACTATAAATATTTTAAAAATATTTGCAGAATGTTCTATGAATATTCTAAATATTCTATATTTATCAGAATATTTATAAAACATTCCACGCACTTTCTAAATATACTACATTTGTTAGAATATTTCAGGAATATTATATACACATTCCGAATTGACAAAATTCCATGAAATATTCATAGAACTTCTATAGAATATTTTGAATGACCCATGGAATATTAGGATATTCATATAATGTTTATAGCACATTCATAGAAATTCTTTGCTGTATGGGTCTAACGACTGTGCGGTATTCTACCTCGACACAGTCGATACATATATACGCAAAAAAACAAATATAAAAATAAAATATGAAAATAAAAATAAAAACAACTAATACTTATCGGCAGTCATGTCAAAGGTCTAACGAAAAATCCGGTTATGTATAATCACAAAGCTAGATTTTGGTAATTTTTCAATTAACAGATCAAAATTCTCGTTTAATTTATCGGTGTCGCTATGTAAATTTAAACTATTCTTCTGACGCTTTATGTGGATCATTTCGGATATCAAACGTTTACCTAAAAAAGGCTCCTCGTCCAAGACTTTTACATCCTCCCAATTAAATTCATGGTTCAATAATCTATGTTCCGATATGACTGATAATTGTGACGCGTTTCTTTTATATTTGCTCTATTGTTATGCAACTTATTATTGTAGAGGAAGAACAACTTTTTTAACCGCGCTTGTAATGTTTGAAATATCAATTTGAGAGGATAATTATTAGACAAAAGAACTCCAATCATAGACTCAAAGTTACCTTTATGGAATTTCGGATGAGATAGCCAAAAAACTCTATCTATGAGGCTGATAATGGTGCCCTTTTTATGACAGAGAGGATGCTGCGATTCAAAATTTAAATATCTACCTGAATACGTCGGCTTATGAAACAAATCGAACTCAATGCTCCATTATTTATAATAATAGTGACGTCTAAAAAATTCAATCGGTTGTCAACCCCTCCTCCATGGTGAACTGCAATCTAGGATGGAAGGAATTGAAAGTGTTTAAAACAATTTTAAGCATGGAGGGAGGAGCCGCCAAATCGTCAACATATCTAAAATAAAATGGAAAAGACATTGGAATCGCAGCAAATTCTCCAAATCTTCGTGGAGTCCCCAACTGCAATCTAGGATAGCCGGTGAACAAAAAGTTTAAATATCAATTTTAAGCATGGAAAAGACCGCCAACGCGATATCGTCAACATATCTAAAATAAAATGGAAAAGACATTGGAATCGCAGCAATCGCTCTATTCTCCAAATCTTGCAACTGATAAATCCGCAATGATCGGTGAGAGGGGGGACCCATAGGCGTGCCAAAGGTCTGTTGATAACATACATTATTAAACATAAAATAAGTCGAATTCATAATAAAACGAATTGCCAATAAAATTTATCTCGTGGAATAATACACTCTTTTTCAATATACCCCCATCTGTTAATTAAACTATCGATAGCCATATCCAATGGTACGTTGGTGAACAATGATGCAACATCTAGTGAAACTAGCTTCACATCACTATCCACACATAAACCATTTAATTTGTTCACTAATTGGAAACTATCAGAAATAGCCGAATCAGGTTTCGGAATTGCCTTATATATTATCTTATGTAAAAATTTTGCCAAGTAATAAAGAGGTGTATTCCTAGATGACACGATGACACGTAAAGGGCAATTCGGTTTATGCACCTTCGGTAGACCATACGCTCTCGGTAAAACCCCGTCCGTGCAGTTCAGGGATTTATATGTTGTTGAAGAAATGTAATTCTTCATTTTCCATCTCATTAAAATCCCGTGTAATTGATTAATTAGGTTCCTAGTCGGATCTTTTTTAACAACAATATAAGTATCCCGGT